TGACCTCGGCCAAGTCGTCTTGCCTCTGCGTAAAGAGCGGCTAGCACTGTCGCTGCTCCCAGGGCGACTCGGCTAATGCCTGCAAAGCACGGTTATGACCGGGTTGGAGCTCGGGTGCTGCGGCTGTCTCGTGGGTGAGTGGCGAGGTGAATGCTGGCCTAGCGTGTCGGATCGCTGCGATTCTGCCCAGGTGCCCTACGCCAGATCGGAAGCTCACCTGACGGAGCTGCTGGAGCGGGTCTGTGAGAAGATGAAAGAGTATGGGGAGAAGGTGGATCCCTCCACCCACCGGAAAAGCTACGTCCGCGTGATCTCCCACGACGGGACCAAGATGGACCTTTCTGAGACCAAAATGGACGGGGATGTGACGACCCGCCTGAAGTTTGCGGTGAGTGCAGAGGCGCTGGGCGTGCGTGGGGCTCCCCCGATGGAGCTCAGCTGCCAGTTGAAGGGGGAACCTTGCTGACTTTTGACTCTCAGCTGCAGTAGCCCCCGCCCTGCTGGTGCTGGGCACCGGTGGATGAGTGGGAGATACCAGGCTGCTCTCACTAGCAACGCCCCAGGGCTTAACCCTGACCCTTCTTCCTGGACTGCAGAGCGCTGACACCCCCCCCACACACACGCACTGCCTGACCACTGTGCTTTGCCACTGCAGAGCAAGCCATGCGCAGGTGGGGCTGGGGCTACGTAGAGCAGGGCCCAGCCGCAGTTTCTCCTCTCTGTCATTGCTGCCCTGTGCGACCCGAGTGCCAGGGGAGGCAGGGTGCAGGTTTTCTGACACTCGCTGACCCCCGTTGCAGTGCGAGAGGATCGCCGAGGAGTATGAAGATGAACTCATTGAATTCTTCTCCCGTGAGACCGACAACGTCAAGGATCGGCTCTGCAGCAAGCGGACCGGTAAGTGAGGCTCTACTGCGGCTTGGGGCAGGGGGCTAGTCAGACAGGGAACATCAGAACGGCCACACTGGGTCAGACCAATGGTGTCCAGCCCGTGTCCTGTCTGCCGACAGCGGCCAATGCCAGGTGCTCCAGTGGGAATGAACAGAACAGGGAATCATTGAGTGATCCATCCCCGGTTGCCCATTCCCAGCTTCTGGCAAACAGAGGCTAGGGACACTTCAGAGCATGGTTTTGCTAATAGCCAGTGATGGACCTATTCTCCACGAACTTATCTTTTTTGAAGCCTGGTATATTGGCCTTCACAACATCCTCTGGCATCCTCTACAGGTTGACTGTGCGTTGAGTGAAGAAATACTTCCTTTTGTTGGCTTAAAACAAACAGAGCCTGGAGGCTTTCGTTCGCCTCTGGATGGCTGCCTGGAGGCCAAGCCCAGCCAGCAGCCACCACTCTAGGAGTGAGATGGTCCCTTTGGCAGGGCGCAGGGACGGGGAAGAATTAGCCAGGATACCACTGCTGGTCCCCTGTACTCAATCAATGTTATTCCCCACTTCCCATCATGCACCAGTGGTGCTGCATCGCTGGTTCAGGCTGACTGCTGCGCTCCAGCCCAGAGGAAGCTGCCTTCCAGTGATGGGGAAAGTGATCCCTCTGCATCATGGTCCATAAGTTTCATTGAGACGTGGAGTCGCCCACCCATGAGGTCTGGGGAGACAGCTGGGTGTTGGATTCATCCGCGCCCCCTTTCCCACAATCGCACCTTCCTTCGCCAGTTCTTCCCCCCCGAGATGTCGATTTAAGGCACCTCCCTTCTGCGGTTTTTTGTTCATTTGTTTGTTTTTAATTTGGACAGCCTCCCGTTTTATGCTGGTTCTCGGAATCAGTGAGCTCATTAAACAGCCAAAACAAGAAGCGTGCCGCTGAGCTGTGCTGACTGCTGAAAAGTGGGGCGGAGTGGGGCTTGCTCACATGGGCGAGGTGCTGGGCTGGGCCTCGGGAGATGTGGGTCCAATTCCTGCCTCTGCTCTAGACCTTGGTCGAGTCACGTCCCCACTCTGTGCCTCGGTTTCCCCATCTATAACACAGGGATGCCACCTCCCTGTCGTAGAGTGCTGGCTAACTCCCCAGATACTTTATTGAGCACTAGAGAGGAGCCATTACAAAAAACTATTCATAAACCCGAAGGAAAGTAAGAAAGGAACTAACGATACTTAGCTGTTAGCCAGCGCACTTCGTGCATAGACCTCAAAGTCCTTCACAAAGGACAGATGGGGCCATTAGCCCCATTTTACAGATGAGGAAACTGAGGCAGAGTCGTGTTGACTTGCCCAGGGTCCCCCAGCAGATCAGCGGCAGGGCTGGGAATAGAGCGGAGGTCTCCTGATTCTCCTGTGCAGTGCCCTACCCACCGGACGCTGCTCCTGGCTCTCTTATCCTGCAGCCGCTGGGTCACTCTCCGTCCCGCAGCCGTTTTACGTAGGCTGTGATCTGAGTCTAACTTCCACGGTCTTACGCACTTGTCAGTAACTTGCCCTCCCATCCCCTGGCCTCTCCTCGCCCTGGGGGTGTCAAACCCTCTCCAGAGACCTGCTGGGGATCTGGTGCGAGGGCTCTGCAGCAGTGTCCCGGCTCCGGGGGCTCGCTGCTCCCCCCGAGGCCTGCAAGTCAGAAGATGTGTTTCACGCTGCCTTGTCTAACCTCCTCCAGCTGGTGCCAAGCGTTCCTGAGGTCCCACAACCAGCCCAACCTCATCTGCGCTGGGGATTCTCATTGGCTGCCAAGAGCAGTGACGGGATTGGAGCAGCCAATTGCTGGGTGCTATTGAGGGACTGATTTCCCCAGCCCGCTAAGTTGGTTTTGGATGGCAGCCCTGGGTGCCGCCTGACCTTTGTTCGTTCTTGTCCAAGCTGTTGCAAAGGGACCCTGGCTTTACACCTCCGTCCTTGTGTCTCCCTGGACCTGCACACCCGATAGCTCTGCGTGCCTCTGCGCTGTCTGGGTCAAAGGCCGACTTCGACAGCTCTGTTCAAACAGCCGCGTTTTTCAGGAGCCACTAACTAAAGTGTGAATGGTCGGGGTGGGGGAGTGAAGTGTTCCCCCCCGCC